GCATGTCATATACAATGACAGCATGTTTTCTCCTACCACTGAAAAATTAGTTCTTCAATAAATGCTATCTAGTATGTAAAATGTATATAACATATACTTTTAAAAATGAGTAATATACACTGTATACCAATAAAACCATCAGGGAGCCATATATTTAAAATATATAATAATGATATTTTTATTGATTTTGTATGTATGTGGATATATATGTAAGTGTGTATAGATAATATGTAGAGAGAGATATTCAACTGAAACTAAACTATATTGGAGCCAGCCGACACCTCCTGCTATGTCTTATTTGGAAAGCATCATGCAAGGGATCCCATTAGCTATGTTTTCAGTAGGCAAACTACAATTAAGATAAATGAAATCACTTATTCATTAAATGGTTACATCTTGTCTGTCTCATGTCAACGGGGCATTTTTTCAAAAAGTAACATCACCTTTTCATCTACTGCTTCTCCTTTTGCCTAAGGATTCTCCAGATGCTTCCAAGAAATTACAGATGTGATTGTCATGGCATGCATGGAAATATCAAGAGCAGTATAATTGATAGAGACCTGCTCACCAATGCTTTAAAGCAGATATAAGCATAATAAATAGATAGATGAAACCTTTTAAAATTACTCTAGCAATAACTCTAGCAATAGAAAATTGTTGCCGAGACCATATTTTAAAGTTCGTCTCCCATGTTTCCCCTCTCAAAAAAAAGTGGGGGAGGTGAGTCATATGTATATTACAATTTTACTGACATAGCATTGAAATGTTAGGGAAAACTTTAAAGAAGGAAAAAGCAAACTTTTCAGAAAGATGAATATTAGACCTGCAAAGAGATCAATTCTCTTAAGCAGGCATTTCAATCCTTTTCCTCAAGGGATTCAGTTCAATTTCATGAAGGCCAGTTGTAAATGCTCAGTTGCTGTTCTACCTAAAAATCACATTCTGTGTGTTTGTTTGTTTTTTAATTTGCTTGCTTAAGAAAAGGCTCAATATGAGGCTTTCATCTCATAAAACAAATCAGCAGAAAAACAAAAACAAAAAATAAACAAATCAACCCCCGTAAGATTAAAGCTCTATTCAATTTAGGATTCACCCTTTGGGTTCTTGCCTGACCTGTGTGGTATATTTTTATTTGGAAAGAAATATAATTCCTTATTATGGTAGGTAATTTTATAGTGAATTATGAACATTAAATATAAGGTACAAATAGAAGTAATTGAAACACTGGTATATTTATTTTAAAGTGAGTGCACGCACCAGAGTATGAATTTTAGAGATCAAATTATTTAGCTTTGGACTAAGTCTCAAAACAACATCTCACCACCTTCAATTAAGACTTTGTAGCAACCCTGCAGGGCAGAGTCGACCTGCCCCTATGGGCTTCTGGGGTTGTAAGTCTCAAGGGAGAAGAAAGCCTCTCTTTAGGACTCCAGTTTTCCTGCCTGACACGAATCCCCACGGCTCTCTCTCTCCAGTGCTCTTTGTCTTCCCTCCTCCAAGCAACGCTTTGTTTTCTCTCAATGCTGTTTAGATTTCATTTTTCCAGAAGGTTCCCCTGTAGCTTGTTTTTCATTATGTAACACTCTTTAAACTAAGGGATATGCAATGATTTTCTCAATGAACTATAGATGTCACCAGGGCCAGAATATGTTCTGATTCATCCATTGGCAGTTTTCTAGCCTTAGTTGGGCCTTTGACAGAAGAAAGGGTGAAAAGAAGGGACACCTTATTGAGACCTCTGGTAATTTTGGTAAATAACTTTATTTGTGTCCCATTTTAACATGTTGTACCATGTTCTCAAGTTCATTAGGGAAATTGTATGTGGTGTTCTTTACATCATGAATTGAAATCAGACCCTGTGGGAACCTTTTTTGAAACAGCAGATTAAAAGGACGTGCTTGTCAGTATGATGGTCCTGTGAAAAAACCTATGGGAGACCAAAAGGTTAAAAGTACTCTAAAGCTGAAATCAAAACTTAAGAGGTCACGAAAACTACTCTATTGGAAATCACCAACCAAGATACAATTTACGAGAATGATGAAACATTGTAAAATATCTCTTCAATGCCACTGAATAAGTTGTGTAGGTATTATTTATGAAATGGGAACTAAGCTTGCTATATAAAATTTCCCCCCAAACACAATGATAGATGTACTATACATAATATGCAATACTATTTTATATGTATATATAATTCTATATGAGACTTTCCTAAAGCACGAATTCTCAATAGCGCTGGCAAGACTTACTAAAGTATTTCATTTATTAGCAAAAGATTGGAATGTATGATATATATTCTTACGGTTACAACTCATTAGATTTTAATATAAGTTCTGCACTAGTCAAGCATGAAGGAAATTTTGGCTTAGACCGGCTCATACTTGGAGATACACCTCATTCCTGAATTCTCCTCTGCAGAAAGTAAGTTGTGATATATAAAACGACCACATTGGCCATCCTGAATTTGTTTCTGTGGTCATATTTGCACATTTCTTCATTATTTATAATAATAATAAACTGGAAATCATATACAGACTACCCATATATGTTAACAAAATTATGTTCTAGTGTGTATCCCACAAAATCTTTTTATCACTATACACTTTTTCAAAATGTCTTGTTATTCTCTTTAGTTCACTAAATGAGAGCACAGAAACATTTTCTTTAATCTAAGTGGACTTTATTGCTTTTATTGCTTAATTGGTCTTTTCCTGATACTACTAAAAGTAGTTCACTTTGACACAGAGTCTCTGTCCAAGAAGACATTCCTGGTTTGGATTTTATCATGCATCTCTTTCTATTTTATAGTTGCAGAACTCTGATACGGAGATGGCTAGCAGAAATAGAGCAGATTAAAAGAAATAGTTTTAGGGCCCAGAATGGGACCTTCTCTTTCCCTGTCATTGTGGAACGCTCTGAGAGAAATACAGACAATGCTCTACTTCATATCTACAGTACTTGGGATGACTATATATTATTTAAAGGGGAGGTCTTTCAAATCACCATTAAGCAAAAATGTCAGAATCTGTTGAAATTACAAATCAAGAGTCCTTACTGAGATACAAGGCATTTTATATTGGGAATCATTACGATTGTGAATTACACGGTCCAAGAAAACAGTTGAGTTTTTATAAGAAAACTGCAAAGATGTTGAATAAAAAATTAGGGATTTGTTGACATTTAGGTAATGGTTACAAAAGAGAATCAGGATACCTCTGATTGATAGGAGATTACATATGTTTCTAAAGCAATCACTAAATTGGGTAGATACATCTGAACTCAAACTATCCTAAGGTCTCCTTATGTGATCACAGGGAGGGTATGATTAATTATAAGATTTATCCTGAATAAGCCACTGTTCCGAGAACTGTTTTAGACGCAGTCTCCCGAGCAAATAATTAATTAAGCAAGACACTTAAGCAACCAAAATACTCTAAAAATTTTACCAGAGTGCAGTGGAGAAGTATATACATGACAGGTTGCATTCCTCATGCAAAATTACTTCAGATTCAAATGGCATTTTGGTCTCAGACATTAACAAAGACACCATTTAAAAGCAGACGTCCTACTTTAATTTTTGGAGCTCTTCTTCAAAATAAATAACTATTGGAGGGGTTTGTGTTTTCTTTCAAAGTCATTCAAAATATTTATTCATGGGTTATAACATGTACTATCTTAAAATAAAATTTAACATTCTATGTGTGACTGTACTAGATAAGAATTTTGATAAGGATATCCACCAATACTTTTTCCTCCTGCTGTTGTTGGTATGTGTTATTGACTTGGCTTCAATTCATAGAGACACTACGTACAAGAGAACGAAACACTGCCTGTCTGTGCCAGCCTCACAATCGTTTTTATATTTGAGCCCACTGCTGAGTCACTGTGCCAATCGATCTTGCAAGGGGGGTTCTTCTTTTTAACTGGCCCTCTACTTTACCAAACATGGTATCCTTTTTCAGGGATTGGTCTCTCTTGATAGCATGTCCGAAGAATGTCTGATGAAGGCTCACCAGCCTAGCTTTTAAGGAGCATTCTGGCTGTACTTTATCCAAAAGAGATCTCTTCCTTCTTTGGACAGTTGTTAGCATTTCAGTGTATTCTTTGCCAGCACCCTAATTCAAATGCATCTATTCTTCTTCAGGTTTCCCTATTCTGTGTTCAAAATCACACGTATATTGAAAATACCATGGCTTAGGTCAGGGCTACCTTAGTCTTCAAAGTAACATCCTTGCTTTAAAGTGTTTAAAGAGGTTCCTTGCAGCAGATTTACCCAATGCAACCTGTCTTTTGATCTCTTGGCTTATGATTCCATGAGCATTGATTGTGAGTCTAAGCAAGATGAAATCCTTGACAACCTCACAATTTTCTTCGTTGTTATGATACTATCTGTTTGTCCAGCTGTGAGGACTTTGGCTTACTGTACAGTAAGTTGTGATCAATTATGAAGGTTACCATCTTTGATCTTCTTCAGCAAGTGCTTCAGGACTTCCTCACTCTCAGCAAGCAAGGTTGTGTCATTTGCAAATCAAAGGTTGTAATAAGCCTTCCTCCAAACTTGATGCTACTTTCTTTTTTATATAGTCCAGCTCTTGATCAGCATATAGATGGAATAAGTAATATGAGAGCATGCAGCCCGATGCTCCCATTTCTTGATTGTAAACCATACAGTGTCTCCTTGTTCTCTTTGCACAAGTATTTCTTGATCTATGTATAGGTTTCATATGAGCATAATTAAGTATTCTGGAATTCCCATTCTTCTTAAAACTATCAATAATTTTTTATGATCCACAACGTTGAATTTCTTTGCTTTTATATTACTAGTCTATTTAAATTATCAAAATTTCAGATATGATTAAGAGCTAATTTGTACTGTGAGGCCCAAAATAGAAGCGCAAATATATTTTTCCCTCCCCCTAAAGGAAGAAATGAACACACCTAAAAGATCTCATAAAAATAGTAATTAAAAGCAACTTTTTTTCTTCGCTACTCTTTCACAGCAAAACTTCGAGAATCCTGCTTTGATCCAGGCAATATTATGAATGGCACCAGACTTGGAATGGATTACAAATTAGGGTCAACCATCACCTATTATTGTGATGCGGGATATGTTCTTCAAGGTTATTCAACACTCACCTGTATCATGGGAGATGATGGAAGACCTGGATGGAACAGAGCCCTACCAAGCTGTCATGGTAAGAATCATATTTTTTGCTGTATTATTATTTGTCTGAAACACTGATCATTTCTTTTATAATGAACTCTTTAGCATAAAGTCAACAAGCATGGTTTAAAGAAAAACCATCAGGTACATTTTCAAAGAATATTGAATTGAATAATGAAATCATTATATTCAAAGTTATTTCTTATAACAATGTATACATTCTTGTAAGTGTGTCCACTGTGATCGAGGACATTGTTTATGATGTACATGTATGTGCCTGGAAGTGTTACATACTCAGCATATTCTGTCTGAATATAGGAAAAACAAACACACTAAAACCCGTATTTCAATGTAAGTATGTACATGCAGTAATTCCAATATTATCAAGAATTACTTATACACAAATTCTTATGTCCAATAAGAATATAGAAACATATACATTCTTCCTAGGTGCCACGTTTTCTAAGAGGACATGTTTAGCAATTGCATTCTATATATAGCACTCATGATATAACGACAGAAATATAGTAGAAAAGCCAATTTTGTAAGGCATGCACACAGTGATTTTACTCCGGAAGATTTCCAGAGATGCCTAGCCAGTCACGTCACCCAATGCAATGTTCAAAATTGGCATGGAGATCAGATCATCTAGACAATATTTTCCAAACTGTAGTGCGCCACCAGAGAATCATAAAATTAATTTGTTGTGTTCGCATTAGCATTTTTATCAATGGTACACCATTGAATCAAGTAGGAAAAAGAACCACAAAGAAGAAAAATACAAGATTTGCCAGTAAGAGCAATTGTGTTTTTAGTTGTTGTCATAAGCTGCCATGAGACCGCCCCTTACTCATGGCAAGCTTGTCCACGACAGAACTTTGCAAAAAGTGTCTGGAAGCAGTTGCCAGGTCCTTTCTTCCACAGAGCCAGTGCATGAGTTTGATGGACGGTGCTTGCAGCTAGCAGCCGATGACAAACCACTTGCATGACTGGACTCCTATGCATACACACACACAAACATTTCCATGCAGCTGGGTATTATGCATCAGACCATGATTTAAAGCGAATTTCTAACTTTGAAATTCAGTTAAAAAAAATAAAACGTGATGGTTGGGAATATGAATTTTGGTGTCTGAGATGCATGATAAAGTACTACATCTTTAAATTATTTGTGCATATTTGTGTATGATTTCTATACATACACAAGTCATTTAACTTCTGTGAGCTTATTGCTACTCATCTCTGAAATATGCAGAAGAACGACTGAAATGTAACTTGTTATAATAAATAAGAAGTTATGGACATCAACTAACAGACTCTTCTATTGCTATGAGAACAACTGCTTAATCATTGACTTGAATCAATAATTTCTGCTGTCAGTAGATAGAATAAGTACAAATTATTACTCGGACCATAATCCTGCCAAGAAGAAGAAAAAAGAAACATTGGTGATATGGAAAGGTATAATGATATTAAGAGAAAGAGTTGGCATGGTGGCTTAGAAATCGGAGTTATACAAAAGGGAAGTCCATTTATACACAAAGCAACATATGGCATTATTTTTTTAATTTACTGTCAGTATCCATTAGAAAGTATCTCTCATAGGACAGTGGTAAAAGAAGCCTGCGGCTAACTAAAAACAGTTGATGATGCAGACGCACCGGTCACCCACTGGGCAAACCGATCTACTTCTACAATGATTTCCACTCTTGGGACCCCTGTGCAGCAGCTTTATCTTGTCCTGTAGGATCTCTTTGAATTGCAATCAACTTGATGACAGAAAGTTTGGTTTGTAATTTTAGTGCATGAGAAAAATGTGTAAAATGTATGGAAAATTCAAGGAGCCATACGCAGTCAAATGTCTTTGTAAAATCAATAAAATCCAAGTGAATATTCTTCTACTCTCTGCTCTGAGCCAAATCTGATATCAGCAAGTCCTTTTGCCACGTGTTACTAGTGATATTGCGTGTTAATTTCCCCATAGATTGGGACAACTTTCTCTGATTGGGTCCAAATTTGGGTGTCTTTCAGTCGGTTGTCTAGGAAGCTAACTTCCATATGTCTTCGTGTAAGTGAATGCTTGCTTCCGGTGTTTCACCAGCTTCTTGAAACATTTTATTTGATATTGAATCAATTTCTTGAACTTTGTTTTTTGACAAAACCTTCAGTGCAGCTGGGGGGGTCTTCCTTTCATACTACTGGGTCTTGATCACCTGCTATCTCTTGAAATGGTTAAATTCAACCAAGTTTTTTTCTGGTACAAAGATTCTGTATATTCTCTCTATCTTCTTTTGATGCTTCTTGCATCATTTAATATTTTGCCCATAGAATCCTACAATATTGAAACGCAAAGCTTGTTAATTTTCTTCAGGTCTTTCTGTTTGAGATACACTGAAGATGGTCTTCATTTTTAGCTTTATAACTCTCAGTCTGTGTCCACTCATTATAATATTTTACTTTGGTTTCTTGAGCTCCCCTTTGGAAGTTTCTGTACAACTCTTTCACTACAGTATTTGCTCCATTTGTTTTAGCTACCCTATAAGATCAAGAAGGTTTCAGATTTTTGTGACATCTACTTTTATATTTCCTTCCTTTCCTTTTTAAAATGCACTTTCGCTTTCTGCTTGTAGGGTGATTTTCAGGTTATCTCATGACTCATCAGGTCTTCTGTCATTAGTGTTCAATGAACCAAACTATTCTTGAGTCATTCTCCAAATTCACATGGGGTATACTTAAGACTGTAACTTGGTTCTCATGGCTGGCTTTAATTTTCTTCAGCTAAACATGAACCAGCATATGAAATATTGATGAGCTGTTCCACAGCCACCCCTTAGCCTCATTTTATTGCTGAATTGATCTTTGTTGTTTCTTCTCACAGGTGGAGTAAATTTGATTTCTGTGGAAATTCAATTAGTAAACATAAATGTTTGAATATTGGAAAATTGAAATATAGATAGGAATTATGATTAATAATACAATTTTCCTAAAGGAGCATAATTCTAAGAAACAGATTGTACTCTTCATGTGTATTTTGATCAAGCTAATATATTTCAATCACTTTATTGCTACTCAAGTATAATTTATTGATCTTATGTAAATGTACACAGCAGTCTTTCCTGAATATAGAATAGGAGTTGATTCCTTTTAAATTTCTTGAGAATCTTTTTCATTTTGAAATTTGATATCACTAAAATAAATTGTTAACTATGATGCCAAATTATTGTGGCAATTATATTAAAGTTATTGAGTTGATATTTTAGACTACTAAGAAACAAGTTTAACATATTTTATATTGAAATATGACTGCAACTTATAATTTCTACCATAGCGGAGAAAGGGTCTCATATTTTGGAATTACATATATGTAATCTTAAATAAAAATTTAAAACCACCCAGAGCTATTATTCACTTACTTATTTATTTTACAAATCTAGCCATGATATACTCTTGTGTAATTTTTTAAGGTTCTTGGTGATTTTATTTAAACTATTTTTTTAAAGATATTTAAAGAATTTGGATCCATCATGGTCAGCATCACACAACAAGGAGAGATTGATAACATTTGAGTTTCTGGATCAGGTTCACATAGAGCTATTTGGTTTTGAAGCGACTATTCTGAAATCAGAAATACACAGGGCTGGCTTACTTTCAGATATAATTTAAAAGTCAAAATTAGTTTTTAAATGTATATAGTATAATTGGAAAGGTTAGTTATTTATGGGGAGTTCTTTTTCTCTTTTAGGATGATGCAATTTATATTTTTATTGTTGTAAAATTTGAATATAACAAATTTAAAAGTAGAGAGGAAATAATCAGAAGTAATGGATATAAATCCTACTCTTCTTCTAATAATTTTCTGCTTCTAATTACCCTGGTGTCCTACTCCATGACTGCATAACATGAAAATCTCTGCTATCATTTTCCAAGTTATTCAATTGCCATTAGCATCGACTCCCTGGCCCCTATTGCTGATCTAATCTTTCCAGATACTATTGTTAATCTGATTCACACAGGCAATTATCTGACAGAACACAATGTTCATGGCAGACATAGCTATTTAAGCTAAAGTATTGTTTGTTTCAAACATGACTTTAGAAGTTAGTTTCCCTTTGAGATTGAAGGTTTAAAGATTGCCTCAGGCAATAGTTTTGAAGATTTTTGAGGAACTTTCATTTAATTTATAATGTCTGGGTTCCATTGAGAATTCGAATTTATATTCCCAATGTATGCTCCTATGATCAGAATTAGTCTACAGAATATTTAACCTAAACATCCAATAATGGTGGCTGTACACCATTCTGTTCATTCCATAAGAAGAAATGTGCTGATTTACCAACTTTCAACACCCCCTTTTGACACGATGATAAGAACGGTGAAGAGTTATGTCACAGCCAAGCTTGCTCTCTTCAATATCCAGTTCTTGTAGTGATTGCCTTTGCCGTTTGCGAATGTTGATGCCTCTGTTCCTGAATCCATCAATCTTTGAAAAGTAGGTCACTGTTGCTCTACTGATTTTCCTTCTAGCTCTTACTTCACAGTAGGAATCTTGCTTAAATGTCTTTAAGGCTTTTTTTGTGGGGAATTCTGACTGAAGGATTTCCTTTAGTCTTTCTTTGAGAACGAGGAGTTGGTATTAGAGTGCAAGTCCAGAATGCAAAAGTAAGGAACTCTTTTTTTTTTAAAATCCCTCCACCAACCCACCAATAAAAATTAACATGATCATGTTCTCTGTAAACTCTAAAACTTATCCATATTTGTCTACTTTAATTTTGTCCCAGAAAACATGATACTCCATGAAGTCAAAGCCTACATTTCACTCTTCAACCATGTGACACACTACTTTATCAGGATCTTAATAAATATTGGATAGAATAAATTCAACAATAACAATTTACAATGTCTGCCTGTTTCAGAAGATGCCATTTTATCATCACCAGTAATTATTATAGACTTTCAATTTGAAGAAAATATTTTCAAGAACCTAAGTTGGACACTGGGAGATTATATTTGTCAGAAAAGTAGAAACAAAAT